TCACAACTAAACACACAGCGTCTTCACGACATGGTGGCGGCGGCAACAACAATACTACAGCGAGAATCAAAGTTACGCCTTCTTTCTTTGCGTGAACATTTGGGCGGCGTTATGCAAATCTTCCCACACCGTGACGTTGACATGTGGGGGCGTGTTAGAACGAGCCGTTTTAGGTAGGCGTGGTTGACTCTTAACTTTTATAAAGAATATCTCTTTGGATTTGAGACTTTAGTCTTTGCAACTTTACAGATCTTCTTTATGCACCAAGAGCTTGTAACACTCCAAAGAGAAAGGAAAAATTTAAATCGTATCATATGACCCCTTTAAGGCTAAATGTCTGTTCACTCTATGAATGCTAACTATAAAGTTAGCATCCACACCAATGCACAATAACACGCACTGCAGTTTTGTTGTCTGCTGACTTAAATGCTTGTGTTCTTAAAAGTCTAATGGATTCTTATTGGCTGTCAATGTTTTTATCATTCATCAGTTGGAAAAAAAAAGTTCTGAAAGTGATTCCAACGATATAGTTCCTCTGTGTCATTATTGTTATAGTTGTTTTGTGGACTTTTATTGTCATAGAATTACAATGATATAGTTACAGTTATAGTTACATCCTTAGTGTGAACAGGCCTTAATCCAAACTCTGAAATCTGATAGGCTGATTGAAGAGTTCCTGCATGGCACAATGCCACTTATATGCTATAACATCTTTCCTGATGTTGTTTTCTCTTTGTAAATGTAAAGGCAATTCTGGAGCTGGCAATAACTGGGCCAAAGGTCACTACACTGAGGGCGCAGAACTCGTGGAGCAGGTTGTGGATCGTGTTCGTAATGAAGCCGAGAGCTGCGACTGCATGCAGGGCTTCCAGTTCGTCCACTCTCTGGGCGGTGGCACTGGTTCGGGAATGGGTACCCTGATTATCAATAAGATCCGAGAAGATTATCCTGACCGCATCATGAATAGTTTCAGCATAATGCCCTCGCCGAAAGTCTCCGATACAGTAGTCGAGCCGTATAACGCGACCCTATCAATCCACCAACTGATTGAGAATACAGACGAGACGTATTGTATTGATAACGAAGCGCTGTACGATATCTGCTTTCGCACTCTTAAGCTCACAACGCCAACTTATGGAGATCTCAACCACCTTGTATCCCTCACCATGAGCGGGGTCACGACCTCCCTTCGCTTCCCAGGTCAACTGAACGCTGACCTTCGGAAGCTGGCCGTCAATATGGTGCCCTTCCCGCGTCTCCATTTCTTCATGCCTGGTTTCGCTCCTCTCACTGCACGTGGTAGCCAACAATACCGTGCCATAACGGTGCCCGAGCTCACCCAGCAGATGTTCGACGCCCGAAATATGATGACCGCGTGCGACCCACGTCAAGGACGCTATCTGACAGTCGCGGGCATTTTCCGTGGTCGCATGTCCACTAAAGAAGTCGATGAGCAGATGCTCGCCATTCAACAGAAGAACAGCAATTACTTCGTAGATTGGATCCCTCACAACGTCAAAGTAGCCGTTTGTGACATCCCACCACGAGGCCTCAAAATGTCCTCCACCTTCATCGGAAACAACACCGCCATCCAGGAGATATTCAAGCGCATAGGAGAGCAGTTCACGCTCATGTTTCGACGCAAGGCCTTCCTGCATTGGTACACGGGGGAGGGCATGGATGAGCTGGAGTTCACCGAGGCCGAGAGCAACATGAATGATTTGGTTTCAGAGTACCAGCAATATCAGGATGCCACCGCTGAAATGGATTACGATGCAGAAGATGAAGTGACAGAAGAGGAGGGTCTGTCATCAACAGCACACAGCACTCGAGTGGAGATTAAGACTGAGGTGGTCACTGAAACTTCTGTTAGTGAATGACGTGTGGGCTTTAGTGACTATGACAAGAGTGGATCTGATTGTGTAAAGAGTGAGAACATTCAGTGACCCCAAAAAGTATTTAGACACTTAAGATACAGTTAAAATTAATATAGGAATTACATTGCGTTAGAAAAAATGCTTGGCTTGAAAGGTGTGCTTTTTAAATTAAACTTTTTTTTTTATTTTTTTTATTTTTGTAATTCAATGACAATGTGCCTTAAGTGTTCAAATACTATTTGGAGCCACTGTTCATAGCAAACTGTGAAATATTTCTGACCTCCAGGATGATGAATTACACAAATTTAAATAGGATATAGAATAGAGTCAAAATTCAAATATAATTTTCTAATCTTTGCTATATATTTTCAAACGTTTGGGGTCGATATGTTTTTGAAAGTCTCACAAAGGCTGCATTTATTTAATCAAAATACAGTAAAACAGTAATATTGTGAATATTACTTATTATATATATATTATGAAATGTAAAGCTGAACTTTCAGAAAAAATAATTTCTTATTATCAATGTTAAAAAAAGTTTTCAGGATTCTTTGATGAATAGAAAGGATTAAAAGAACAGCATTTATGTCATATGGAAATCTTTTGTAACATTATAAATGTTACATTTGATCAATTTAATGCATCCTTATCAAATAAAAGTATGCATTCCTTTAAAGAAACAATCTCACTGACCCCAGACTTTTGAATGGTAGTGAATAGTTTGTTGTAAAGCTTATTTTATATAAAGATATTAAAAAATGAATCTATATTGATGTGTAACATCACTGGAGAATACAACCATTTCTGTATGTTCTGTAATAATGAAAATCTAGATATCTTGAGAAAAATATATGGAAAAACAGATTTAGTCAAAAGGTTTTTCTTTTTTGTGGTGTAATAGTGCGATATAGACGCTTAAATTCTTCTGTCATTTGTTGTCAATATTTAAAAAATGCTACATTTTAGTTTTTGTTAATTTTGCTTATCGTTTAAAACCATGATACAAAATGATTTTATCAATATAAACCAACTGTTTCAGAATATATTTGATGTATCTGCATTGTACTTGAGTATTTATAACGCTAAGAACTTTCACGTGTTTGCCATTTCATTGTCATTTACCCATAAGTTTTCTTGCCAAATGTATTAAAATAATTTTTTGGGGATATCAGTAAGCAACAGAGACTAACCTATTCATTTTGCGAATCTAAGGGGTTTTACATAACGCTGTATATATCTAAATAAAATAAATCCATCTCTGAAAATCTTGCTGTTTTTTTCATGTAAAATAATAGTTAACATCTCTACATAGTTAAACCTGATGTACACCTCCTTCCTTGCAGAGCCTGAGAAATATTAAAGGGGTCATATGATGCTGCTAAAAAGAACATTACTTGGTGTAATGAAATGTGTTTATGCGGTTTAAAGTTCAAAAAACACATTATTTTCCACATAATGTACATTGTTTCTCTTCTATGCCCCGCCTTTCTGAAACTCGTCGCTGGTTAGAACGAGCCGTTTTAGGTAGGTGTGACTGACTCTTAACTTTTATAAAGAATATCTCTTTGGATTTGAGACTTTAGTCTTTGCAACTTTACAGATCTTCTTTATGCACCAAGAGCTTGTAACACTCCAAAGAGAAAGGAAAAATTTTAATTGCATCATATGACCCCTTTAATTATATACAAAGAGCACTGTAAATATTGAAAAGCCAAATTTGCCCACATCTTACACTGAGATCACACTAAATCCAACATTTACTTTATATTTAAACAACTACTGGGCTGCAAACTGGTAACAGTTTTAGTGTCTCTTTTGATGATGCTGTAAAACCAGACATAACCAATACTACTATAGATTAACAGTACACAAACTCAGTTTGCCCAATGAACACCTGCTAAACAGAAAACTCTTTGGATCAAGACCACACCAAGGGAAGGCTGTTTTAGTTTGAGACTCTTCATAATTTATTATCAAAAGAATACAACTATTTTCATTCAATCATCATAACTGCAGGTATTGTTGTAAATCCTACAGAGAACGTAGTGGGGATTGACGGGTGTAATTACAGATCCTACAAAAAAGCAGAAAAGACAATCACTTTTAACAACAAAGATCTAAAAAAAATAGGTTAAGAGGTCAGCTAATGCATCACTTTCTACAAGTGCCGTACAGTTCTGAAAAACAGCTGAAATTTTAACTCACATTATACAGTCTTCACTTTAGTGACCTTCACACTGGATTCTGCGTTTCTAATCGCTTCAGTTTTCAACTGTGGCTTCAGTGCTGCCCGCACGACCCTGGCGCAGATAGCCGAGTACCTGATGTAACTGAAACGACAGGAGAAATATTAAGTTACTGAATAACTCAAGCAAAAATTGCTCGCATGAATAACGTTACATCCACTGTCAAAATCAAAATGACGCTATTACTATAACGTTAGTCAAATTCATCGCTATACAGAGCAAGGCCAAACCGTAAAGCACAGATTAGAGAGCGTACAGCACTTAAAACACAAATTACACAACTTTTTACGTTATTAATTGTCATTCTGGTACCTCAGCCCTGCTTGTCTCCAGTAAGCCACCATTTTTCCGTGCAAAAGTGTATCTTGCGTCCGTTAAATGCTGCGGTTCGAGCTGATCAAGGACGAGAGCGAGGCCTGTAGTTCGCCGGAAATACGTCATAGGCCAGCGTACAGTCTCATTGGCTGGCAAACACGCCACTCATTTTACTGTCACCTGGATTTGAACCAATCACCGCAGTTTAATGATACAAAACGTACATTAATGAATAACATTGTTTGAAAACAATAAATGAAACTATAATCCTTATTGTGTCATCTTAAAATGTAACCTTACATATATAATAGGTTCTAAACAACTCTCTATTATATAGCAAGTAATAGAGAGAGAGAATGATCCCCCTCCCCCCAAATCATGTTTAAATGCCACAAAACCACAAATCTGCATTTGTGTAAATAAAACTTACATATTCAAATTCAAATATCCATGCACAAAAATTCAACCTCTTTATTTTGACATTTTACTCAACTAGGTCATGTCTATATATTAGAAAGTTCTTTTATTTTGTAGGAATGCCCGAAATGACGGATGGTTTATTTGTAATTCGTTTGCAATTCTAAAAGATAAGATATACACTATACTACTACTACTAATACCAAAGTCCCTTTAAGGGTATTCTATAGTCTTTGATAATACTCGTTCCAACTGCTATTTTACATTTACATTCAGTACATTATTGTTTCAAATTAATCAAGTATAAAATTTATACCCCCCCCCGGTGATATTAATAATTGTATAATATAATATTTTTATTACAATATACCAGCACCTAGGCTATTTGTAATCACTACGGAGTCTTAAACTTTATTTGTATGATGGGTTAAATACTATATCCACAAAGTTAGATACCTTAAATTTAACCCCAGCTGCAAAATATTTGCTTCTGATCTACATTTATTATTATCATCACTTCAAAAAGTCTCCTCTAATAAAAAAGCTCTGAAGACATCTCGTATTATAGAACGGGTTTTAAGTACATTTTAATATTTTTCCTCCATTTTCTCTCTCTCTCCTCTGTATTCCCCCATATATTCTATGTTCTTTGTTCTGTATTATTTGTCTCTTTTGTATTGAATTATATTTCTGCAATAAAACATAAAAAAGTCACTACGGAGCGGAGACTGTATAAAAACGGCTACGGAGCGGAGACGTTCGAAGAAATAATGCAAATATGGCAAAAAGAATGGGAGTCTGAGTCTAAAGCTAAACATTATCATATAAACCAAGCAAAAGTAGGAGGAAAAAGGATAAATATGGCAAACAGGCGAGAAGAAGCAGTATACTCAAGGCTGAGATTAGGTCATACTGGATTGAATGATACATTGCAGACAATAGGGAAGAGTAATGGATTATGTACAAGATGTCAAACCAAGGAAGATGTAGAACATGTCTTGTTTAGATGCAATAAATACCATGAATACAGGCAGAAATGGCAGGAAATGGAAGAAGAAAATAAAATTGAAGATATTCTTAGAGAACAAGGGATGGAAAGAAATAGACTCAAAGCTTTGTTTATATTTCTTGAAAATACTGGATTAATAAGAAGAATTTAGAAACGAAAAGATAACCCTTTGTGGGTTTTATTTTATTTATTATTATTATTTTTTTTAAATAAGTCCCCCCAAGTCCCTTTGCACACTCCTATACAGTAGGTGGCGATATGCAATAAGTACAAGCTGCAAAAGCCAAGAAAAAAGAAGAAGAAGACGTTCGATGCGTCATGACGTTAGTCACGTTCCTGTGACTTCACTTGATGTCATGCGGCCTGGGTTAGAGAGGAGGAAGAGGAGAAAACAACAACAAGCCTGCTGGGTCAGTGACAGATAGAAGCCACACTGAGGTGACCAGTCTAGACTAGTAGTCCACAAATCAGTCTAATATCACTATTCGCTGTCGTTCCGAGGGCAAGATGTCTTTGTTTGGGAAGTTGTTTGGTAGCAGTGGAAAAGGGGGTAAATATTCAAGCCCCCAAGAGGCTATTCAGCGACTGCGAGAAACAGAAGAAATGTTGACCAAGAAACAAGAATTCCTGGAGAAAAAGATCGAGCAGGAGCTTGTGACGGCCAAGAGAAACGGCACGAAGAACAAAAGAGGTGAGCGATGAGCTGACTTCCCTGGCATAACGTTAGATTCACTGCTTAACTCAGGTTAGGTTTGCACTGTGCTTGTTTGTTAATTTTTATTTTTTTATGTTGCCTATTATACATAGGAATTAATTAAAGAAAGCATATTGTAACTGAAATAATATAATTAACGGACTAATTAACAAGAGTAACGTTAAGACATTTACTAAAACATAAGCTCGGTCTTTAACAGTGTTGGGGAAAGTTACTTTTAAAAGTAATGCATTACAATATTGCGTTACTCCATAAAAAGTAACCCATCACGGTACCTAGTTACTTTTTATTGAAAGTAATGCGTTACGTTACTTTTGCGTTACTTTTAAAATCTTTACAGGGCTTGCTTGTTTGTTTTTAAAATAAAAAACTTTCTATTTTTGGCAAATATATAAGCCTTTTCACACCAAAAGTGAAATGAATAAGCCTCAGGCTGAAGGGAAAGTAAATTTACGTCCGTACAGTAGAATGCAGAAGAAGTCATTTCAACACACTTCAGCAATAAAAAAATACACACAAATGTTTGTCTAGAGTAATTTTTGCTTATTAGTACGGTTGAACTGGATCATCGAAGGTCAGAAGCAAAGACATTGGTTAATAGAATGGGATTAAATACATAAAGTATATTTGTGTTGTTTAGCATTTAATTATTGCAGGTTTGCGTCATATTCTGAGTTGCATTTTTTTAATTCATTTTGAGGAATACTGAATCTGTGTTTTTTTTTGTGAGTGAGATGAATTAATGCATATTCATATTTATTTTAGAACTACAGTAAAATCTAATTTCTCTCAACATGGGGACAGGAGAGCTGTCAATCAATAAATTGGAAAAAAAAGTAACTTGTGTTACTTATTTGAAAAAGTAACTCAGATATTCTCTTGTAAATTAAAAAGTAATGCATTACTTTACTAGTTACTTGAAAAAAGTCACCTGATTACGTAACTCGCGTTATTGTAATGCGTTACCCCCAACACTGGTCTTTAAGAGATGTCATATAAAATGGGATATGGAATGATATGGGGGTTTAGGACAATAATTTGCTTTGTAACATGTTAAAATCTTTTAGGATGCTTGGAATAAACGGATACAGTGTTGTAGCTCTCCATCAGTTCACCTTTGACCTTCCGTGGTATCCATGGTGATGACAAACATGTACGTCATGTTGATTGACTCGGGGAACAAAATCAAGGAAATAAACGGTTCACTGATGTTATCTGGCAAATGCAGCCTTTATTAGATGTATCCATACTCTATGTGATAAATGTACTTTTTGCAACACATCAGTTGAAGATATTGAACTTTTTTTGTATTGCCCTTTCTCTTTCAGTAATTTTAGTGAAATTGTACATTCTCAAGTCGAGAATAACTTAACTCATATATTACCTTCTATAACAGTGATAAGATATACTTTGAAACCCTTTTAAACATAAAAAGAACACAAAATAAGAAAACAATGTCAAAATTAAATCTTTGAAATTTAATGCAACTGTTCAAATGTTTGTATGTTTTTTTTATTATTGTTTTAGAAAAGTGTTTTTCTTCTTTCTTTGACATTCTCTGAATGCTCTGTACTTTTTTGTTCTGTATTTGACTGTCACTGAACTAAATACATAAAAAAAAACTACAATCTTTTCAAAACTTGGAAAAAACATGTTGTTTTAAACTCCTACTTTGTCATGGTTTCTAGTGCCACTTCCAGGCCTTGCAAATATTATGATGTAAATGCAATTACAAAAAGTATATTTATAAGTCAGTTTTTTTCTGTCCCATCGATACTACTAGAGTTGTCCAAATCCAGAATTAGCTCCATAAATTATTTCAGGGCAACATAAGGACCACATTAAAGAGCCGTCTAGGTTGTGAAGCCTGTAATACAACTCCACATTTAAAGTCCCGAGAACAGAGGTAATCAATAATTGATCTGATTATCCTATGAGAGCTGCTGGGACATGACGCATGACGACACTAATGGTATGACTGCTACGGGTGTGGGACTGATGTTTTGTCATAGTTTACATTTCCAGTGCCTTCATGGAAAAAGTGTTTAATTTGCATGACCTTTGTGTCAGGTGACGTCTTTGGAATGGCCCCTTTGAACGTGCACATGACGTAAGAGTCTGGTGAGGGTTTTATTGTATTGCAAACCTGATAAATTAAAGTTACATTCCATACATTGCACAAACACAGCTGCTGTTTTATCTTCTACATGTAAATTGACAACTCAAATCAATGTTTTGTCAGTGTTTAAAATTCAAATCTGTGTTTTGGTATACTGACAATTTATAGGTGATTCTCACAAAGAACATAGTCTGAAAAATACTTTTATTGTGTTTTATTAGACCATAATGTTTTTTTTTTCTCCATTATGACATCTGTTTCAAATCTATTTTTCCAGTGTCCTTCTGATTTTTCAAAAAATTAAAATATGGATAAATGAAAGGCAACTACTACCACAACTTATAATTTTATTAGTTTTTTTTTTAAATAGCTCTATAGTTTTGAATATGTTTTAGCTGTAAGTTTTAGTTTACTTAGTTTAGTTACTGCCATTTTTACTTAGTGTTAGTTGTTTCCATTTTCGTTTAGTTACTTAAACTAAACAAAAATGGCAACTAGCTGAGATAAAATGAATTTAACTTTTTAAAAAATATTTTATTTTAGTTCAGTTAATGTTTATTTTTTTTCGAGAAAATGTTTTTAATGGTTTTAGTTTCAGTTTTAGTTGCTTATAAACATGGAAATAATACTTTTCTTATGGTTGAGAAAAAAGTTACAATACAAACGCATCATAATGGTCCTAAAATAGGCTTCACTGACTTGGTGCCTTTTTTGTCCTGGTTACATTCTTGACAAGCTTTGTAGAATTCACACTTTACAAGAAAAGCATGTCTGTACTGATGTGCTTGTCAGTAATGCACCATTAGGCTGCCAACAGCATTCTCCCTACAATGCAACAGGGTTTCTGTCTCTCCTTTTTTTTTTTATACAGCTCACTTGCCTGATTAAGTTTGGTGAGTGTGCCTCATTTAGGAGTCCCTAACTCTGCACCACTGCTTCCCTGAGAAATATTAACAGTAGTAGACTTTACTTTTCAAAGTAAAACCCTAATCAAATCTGTTGTGGATCAGAGACCTCATAATTTTAATTTAGTTTTGAGAATCTTACCATCTTTCCTTTACTGTATTTATTTTCCATGCAAACACTTTTTTACAAAAACACCTTGACAGTTCTACATTACTGGGTTACTGTGTAACAGCAGGACTGGCAGAGGACTGAGAGTGCATGATGCTTAGCTAAGTGCATGATGCTTCCCGAGCTAAATCTTAATTGAAATTAAATCAACTGACTCATAATCACATAGTGTTCTCTTTAACTCTTTTAAATAAATCCACACTTAATGTTATGCAGTACTTTTCTAGAGGGTTCCAGAATTCTCTTATTTTGCACTTTAATCACATTCACCTTTCATTCTGTTTGTAACAGCTGCATTGCAGGCACTGAAGCGTAAGAAGCGCTATGAGAAGCAGTTAGCTCAGATTGATGGCACCCTTTCTACCATTGAGTTCCAGCGGGAGGCGCTAGAGAACGCTCACACCAACACAGAGGTCATCAAGAATATGGGCTTTGCTGCCAAGGCCATGAAAGCTGCCCATGACAACATGTGAGGAGCTTCTCTTCTATTATCAGTGTTTTCTTCCCTTTTTGTCTCTATCAGCCTGGTAATGCAGCAAGGTGTTGGGTTTATGAGATCATAAACAAGTTTAGCTAGCTAATGGGATTCTGTATGGTACTTTGACATGGGATCTATCTAAATGATGTGTTAATATATTTGCAGGGTATCATAAAGTTATGGTTCTATATCCTGCCTGTGTACTTTCAGGGACATTGACAAAGTGGACGAACTTATGCAGGACATCACAGAACAGCAGGAGCTGGCACAAGAAATGTCAGACGCAATCTCAAAGCCTGTTGTGTTTGGGGAGGAATTTGATGAGGTAAGATTAAAACAAGCAAACTCCACAGCCATGATGATGCTTCACCTGCTGAGTTTTTGGGAGATTTCCATGTGCTTTCACAAAGGTGCCGTTTACACCCGCTGTTAACGTCTGCCTCGGGTGAACCGATCACAAGTGGACAGCACTGAATACAGGATTAAATGGGACAAGTGCATCTGTGAGGTGCTCAGGAAGGCATATCATCACTTGCATTTGTGTTATAAATGCTCATACAACAACATCAAAGGATTAAACACACAATATTTGTGCCAAAGAAACGTTTTAAACCTGTTAGGTGCAGGTTAATTAGAGGAAAAAAGTCCCAAAATGTTTGGGGTTGGTAAATTTGTTTTTTAATGTTTAAAGTCTCTTATACTTACTGAGGCTGCATTTATTTGATCAAAAATACAGTAAAAACAATAATATTGTGAAATATTGTTACAATTTAAGGGTGTATTCACACCAGGAAAGTCCACTAGTTCACTTGCTTTGGTCCGGACCAAATACAATGTTGATTTTTTTTTTTTTTTTTGTTTGTTTGGTGTGGTTCGCTTTCACACTATCCTTTTTGCAAGTGAACCAGAAATTGTAAACAAAACCACATGTGTGCTAAAGGTCATCCATTCATTGGACAGAAATTCTCAAGCGTACCAGAGTTCGTTTGGACCTCTTCAGTTGGGTCTCGGTCCGGTTGTTTGGTCCGCACCCGAGTGCGATTGCTGTATTCACACCTGCCTAAAAGATCCGCACCAAGTGGGGAAACAAACTTGAGTTTGATTCAATCGAACCAAACAAGAAAATAACTGTCTGGTATTTTAAGATGTTTTAAAATGCAATTATTTCTATGATGGCAAAGCTGAATTTTCCATTTCTCCAGTGTCGCACGATCCTTCAGAAATCATTCTAATATGCTGATATGCTGCTCAAGAAACATTTCTCATTATTATCAATGTTCAAAACAATTGTGCTGCTTAACATTTTTGTGGACACCATGATACATTTTTTTTTTTTCAGGATTGTTTAATAGAAAGTTCAAAAGAAGAACATTTATTTGAAAAACAAATCTTTCGCAACACTATAAATGTCTTTATTGTCACTTTTGATCAATTTAATGCATCCTTCCCAAAAAATTTTTTTATTATATATTAGTATTATAGCATTATTATTATAGTAGTATTATTATGTATTCGTATATATATTAATCATCCCAAACCTTTGAATGGTAGTGTATTAAAGGGGTCATATGATGCGATTTCAGTTTTTCCTTTCTCTTTGGAGTGTTACAAGCTCTTGGTGCATAAAGAAGATCTGTAAAGTTGCAAAGACTAAAGTCTCAAATCCAAAGAGATATTCTTTATAAAAGTTAAGAGTCAGCCACACCTACCTAAAACGGCTCATTCTAACACGCCCCCACATATCTACATCACTATGTAGGAAGATTTGCATAACGCCGCCCAAATGTTCACGCAAAGAAAGAAGGCGTAACTTTTATTCTGGCTGTAGTATTGTTGCTGCCGCCATGTTGTGAATGCGCTGTGTGATTCGTTGTGAAAGCGAAACTACTTTGTTTGGTCTTCCAAAAGAGGACGATATCTGCTTCGTCATGCCTAGAGCTGATCCGTGCTGGTCGCTGAGGAAATACATCAACTTCACGCTGTGGATCACCGGATCGGCTTTCACCGTGGACGAAGCGGAGTCCAGCCCAGGGTCATCACATGTGGTTGCCACAAGCCTGCCGGACGCTCCTTCGTCGAATTCGCCGGCCGCGCCGTTCTTAAGCCCACCCACCTCTGCTCACTCAAGCCGGCCTCCGCTCACTCTAGGCCGTGGCTCACTCTAGGTCTCCGGCCTCCGCTCACTCAAGGCCGCCGTGTGTGATGCTGTGTTTCGTTGTGAAAGCGAAACTACTTTGTTTGGCCTTCCAAAAATGGACACGACTAGAAATCAGTGGTTAA